ATTAGATATGAAGTCTTCTGTGCAGTAATATTTTGTAGATTCAGTACTGTAGTCATTAAAATCATCAATATCATCAGAAAATGACATCATGTATAATTGTTTAAGCAAAATAAAAAGAGCAATAAAAAGTCAACAAATCAATGAAAATTGTAATATCCTAATAATAGTGACAGTAATAATAATAATAATAATAATAATACTGTAATATTAATAATAATAATAATAATAATAATAATAATAATAATGATAATGATCACAATAAAGATAAACAAACAAGTATAATCATGGAGCAATCCGACTCACAAGATACGGAAAAATACATAAATTCACCAACAATAAAATAATTGCAGACTTTGGCTATGATATGTCTTGGCTTATCATTGGGCGCTTTTGGTGGTTTTCCCGTGCGATGTGCTGTTTCAATATCTACATCCGGTAGACTAAGTTCATTAGATATAAAATCCTTGATTTTCTTAAGAACATTATCTTCTTTATTACCTTCAGGTATTCCACCGAAACGCAAGTTGAATCCACGAGAGTAACGTTCGAGACTAAGAATATCTGCCTCTAGTTGACCCATTTTCGGCTTCATCGTATTTTCTAGCTCGTTGATGTTACTACTCACTTTACTAGTAAGAACTTTATTTTTCTTTAGCAGATCATCAATAGTATCTGATAAAAACATGACTGACCGTTCCATATCCATCTGTTTGGCTTTAATTTTATCCATTCTGGTAAGTAAACACCTCTGATTTTTTAGCACTTCGTCCAGCTTGCCTTTAGTCTCACTTGCCAATGCTTGTATTTCCCGCCGTAACAGGTCAGTGTCGGAGTTGGTTGGAACTGGTTTTGCTAGTGTCGTCACAGCTACGGATTCCGGTTCAGCTGCTTGAACACTTGGGTTCAGTTTTGTAGCTTTTTTACGTGGCATCTTCGAATTTACAAGTAAATTAGTTTTATTAGAGGTTTACTCCGTATATTTATCAAAATTGATGGATATGAAACGTATATTTTACTTTATCTCCGGAACATTTTACGGAGAAAATTTTGCCGTACCTATGTCATCATAACGTCCTCTATTGAAAATACTTGTTTGAAAGTAATAAAACACAAAGTGTAGAGTTAATGCAAACCAGCAGGCTTGGCCTATATTAATATGTTACATGCCCCAGCTAGCTACTAGGATAGGCCTAGGTGCCTAGGTAAACAAATTTCCAGCTAATATAT